AGTTCACGCATGCATCGTAGTGCCTGTGCAATGCTCCAGCTGCTCGCAGAGGATCACGCAGGCGCTGTATGCATCCTGCACATGCGTGGAAGCGCAGAACTCGTCAAAACCGGGTAAGGACTGCGGGCGGGTGGGCAGGCCCTTCGCCGTTCCCGGAAGTTACTTACTTCTGGGTTCGCCGACCAACCGGTTCGCAGGGACCGCCGCGAACTGGTTGAAACCCACCCCTGACATCTACCTGACTCACTAGAATGGGGGGACAAAGAATATTGCGGTTTTCATCCCCTAGGGAGATAGACCTGGTAGGACCAGTGGTGGATTCTGGATCCCGTTGCAATCAGTACGGTTGCAACGAGGCTCAGCGTCCACCACATGAACACGTGCATGCATCCTTACCTCTTTCGATGCCTCCGCAAGCTTCTGCGATGCTCCAGCTGCTTGCCGGAGTGTCGCGCAGGCGCTGTACGCTCTGTGTGTGTGCACAGAAGCGCCGGAGAGCTCAAATACATGCAAGGAGCTTGGGCGGGCGGCCCCTATAGAGCAGCATACTGGAATGGTATCCGGTGCTCCAGGCAGGCACCGGTATGCCTGTACCGGAGCATATCACCTGCAACCCACCACTGGGTGGGACCCAGAAGAAGGATCTTCTCTGTGGTGGCTCCCTCTCTCTGGAACATCATTGCTCCGGAGATTAGAATGGCCTCTATTCTAACACTCTTCCAGAAGGCATTGAAGTCCTGGTTCTGCCAGTGGGCCTGGGGATGGAACCCATGATGGAGCCGGGATGGGATGGGTGGGTGGTTATTTTATATTATTTTATTAATTAATTTAGCATATGATTCTCTCTCTTAGTAGTTTTATTGTTTTTTATATGAGGTTTACCTTCTTGTAAGCCGCCTTGAGTTGCCATGTGCAAATAGGCGGCAGTATAAATTTCCAAATAAATAAACAAACAAATAAATAGGCACTATATTTTCAACCATTTATTTTCCAAATTTTATAACAGAGGTTCCTTATTCTTTCCTGCGTTAAACATTACAGCTATCATATTTTATTAGTGACAGTCATATTTAACGGTAAAGGTTGGCACTTGGAGTTGGCATGCAGATGTTTATAATTTCTACTCATCTTCCAATTATTGAGTCTTCAAGACTGCTTTCAGCTTCAGTTTTACTGAGGTCCTTATATAACAGCGTGTGTGCTTTGCGTCCTTTGTTCTTGCATCTTGTAAATTTATGGTTTGTCTCAATTTCTTGGCTGAATCGAAGTGCTGCTAGAAAACGTTGGCGAAGAGTTGGACCCCATTCTGGAGCCTCTCCTGCTTAAGCAGACTTTCAAGCAAGGTGGCAGCATCTGCATCCGCCTTGGGGATTCTACCATTGAATATGCTCCCGACTTCCGCTTTTATGTTACAACCAAGCTGCGAAACCCCCACTACCTCCCGGAGACCTCCGTCAAAGTGAGCATTTTGCCTGGGAACCTCAGGCGGTTGACTTTGGTTTCATAAGCAAGTGGATTATTAGCGGTATCACGATCCCTTTCTTAACTCCCTGTGCATTTGCATGCATATATTATAGCAATAGCACTTAGACTTATATACCGCTTCACACTGCTTTGCAGCCCTCTCTAAGCGGTTTACAGACTCAGCATATTGCCCCCAACAATATGAGGGCCTCATTTTATCCACCTCGGAAGTAGTGGTGGGTTCCGGATCTAGCATTCACCACATGAATGTGCGCAATGTTCCCGCATACATGGGCAATGCGTGCATGCCTCACCTCTTGTGACACCTCTGTGAGTCTCCACAATGCTCCAGCTGCTCGGCGGAGCATTGCCCAGGCGCCCTGCACTCCATGCACGTGCGCAGAAGAGCTCAAATACAGGTAAGGAGCTCTGGTGGGCGGGTGGGCCCTCCGGAGCACTGGAACGGAACGGTACCCAGTGCTCTGGGCAGGCACCAGTACGCCCATACCAGGGCGTACTGCCTGCAACCCACCACTGCTTCCCAGGTGGATAAAATGAGGCCCTCATATTGTTGGGGGCAATATGCTGAGTCTGTAAACCGCTTAGAGAGGGCTGCAAAGCAGTGTGAAGCGGTATATAAGTCTAAGTGCTATTGCTNGGCCTTCTCCGGGTGCCGTCAACTACACAATGTCGTCTGGCGGCTCCTCGGGGGAGAGCCTTCTCTGTAGCAGCCCCGGCCCTCTGGAACGATCTACCCCCTGCATTTAACCACTGCGCCACCTCGGCTCCATGTTCTTGAAAGTATCCAGGTGTTGGAAGGTGGTAACTCAAAATTCCCATTATGCAGGACTATGTTAGCTGGGAATTTTAGTAACTGTAATTCCCAGCTAACATAGTCCTGCATAATTGGAACCCCAGTCCTATTCCGTTCGGAAGACATCACATAAGGTAGAGCTCGGACCTTAACTGGACGCTACCCCGAGTTTGCCAAGATCCCCTTTTGCTCACCTGCTCGTCTCCAGCGGGATCCTCCACAGGTGAAGATGACAGCACGGATGAACTCCCTGCCACACAGCTTGACCCCGTAGGACGGTGTCCTGGCTTCACTCACCAGCCGTTTCTCTGAGAGCAGCACTCCAAGCACCAGAGCCAGCAGGAATTTGGGCATGGCTGAGAGCTGTGCGGGATGGAAATTGGGTTTCCTGCGACAACACAACTGCCTTTTGCTAGTTCCTCAGTGTAGCTGAGCCCCTTTTATATCTCCAGGTGGACATGAGCATCTTTCCGGCTATCTCCCCGATTAACGGCAGGAGGGGGTAGCGACCTTTCTTGGTGGAGGAGAACTTGGGAGATGTACGCTAATCAGCGATAACCTTTTCCTTGTTATCAGCTGGGCAGATAGGGAATTGTGTTCAGCGCTCACCTGGCCTTTCCGGGCATGGACAGGCGTGTAGGTGCATAGCGAGAAAATGAACAGCAAAACATGCAAATGTTGATAACGAGCGAGAGAGGAACATAGGCAGAACAACTCCCCAAGACTTCCCACACTTACGTATGCATTTAGAAGACCTTTATGTTCCAAATAACAAGGTGGGCACTCAATCCAGACAAGACCGAGTGGCTACTGATGTTCCCTCCCAAAGATTGGCCAAGTATTCCATCTCTCAGGCTGGGGGGTGAAATTATACNGGATTGTTGGGGGCAATACGCTGACTCTGTAAGCCGCTTAGAGAGGGCTGAAAGCCCTATGAAGCGGTATATAAGTCTAACTGCTATTGCTATTGCTAAATGGGCTAAAGCTTAAGAAAGGATTATGGTATCTTGTCGAAGAAGGAATGCTATTTTGATGTGCCTTGGTTTCTGCATTTTTCGTGACAAAATATGCTCTTTTCAGTACCAGATAAGATGTTTTCCACAAACGGTATCCAAACTTTGCACCCAAAACGTTCCACATTTGGTTTTTAGCATCTCTTGGTAGAGCAGAAAAGACTCCTGTTTTCTACAGGAATGACTTCTACCAGCCAAGTATTGCATTGTCCATTAGGAAAAACCTAATATAATAAAGTGTCTTCCTATATTTTTATATGATTCCAACTGGAGAGATTATATCTACTTTTAAACCCAATCTAGCATTCTTGGGAGGGTATGGGTGACAAATCTCATGTAGCAAGGTATTTACTGACTGGGGTAATAGGAATTTAACTCAACTTGCACAAAATGAGTAATGATAATTAATTTTCTTGGTGTATGGCAAGACAGCATCCCTGAATGTGTTTTCTCAAGCTACCCTTTGCTGGAAATATCGTAAGGCCGTGATGGCGAACTTATGCCACGCCAGGGGTGGGTTCCTGCCAGTTCTAACCTCTTCTATAGAAGAGGTTCCACAAATCTACTGTGCCGTTTAGAACCAGTTCCAGCTCCCTCCCCCCCCGCCCGCACCATGCTTGCCCTGCCCGCCACTCACTGATTGGCTGGCTCACCAATCACCCCGCCCACCTCTAAGAGCCCTATCTAAACCTTAAAATCTTAAAGCTGTCAAGTTTGAACACCCCTGGGGTTTTTTCCTCTAAAGGGTTAGGGGGGCAAGGGTCTTGTAACTAGACAGCTTTAAGACTTTCTCTGTTCAATGCCAGAGTTCCTGAGCCAACATGACTGGAGGAGGAATTCTGGGAGTTGAAGTCCACAAGTCTTAAAGCTGTCAAGTTTGAACACGCCTGGGGCTTTTTTCCTAAAGGGTTAAGGGTGCAAGGGTCTTGTAACTTGACAGCTTTAAGACTTGCANAGGAAGGAAGGAAGGAAGGAAGGAAGGAAGGAAGGAAGGAAGGAAGGAAGGAATTGTTGTGTTATTATTCTGCAGTTCAAACCTTGGAAAGAAATCATAACGAATCGAGGAGAGAAGCAAAGTAGAACTAAGGAGGATTTTCTTAACGGTGAGGACAATTCACCAGTGGAACTCCTTGCCCCCAGGAGTTGTGAGTGCTCCATCAGCTGGAGGCTTTTAAGAAGAAGAGACTGGATAGCCATTCGCTTGGAAATTGTAGGGTCTCCTGCTTGAACAGGGGGTTGGACTAGAAGACCTCCAAGGCCCCTTCCAACACTCTGGTTATTCTCTGAAACGGGATCTTTCGGAGGGCGGAGAAAGGATTCCAGTCCTCTTTTAGCAAATTTAAGATATCTTGTCTATACCAGCCGAAACCTCTTTTGCAAGTTTTGAGGTTTGGGGAAGGCGTGTGCGAATGAGGCACCCGCCGGGAGCTGCCCCTTTGCCCGTCGGAGGAAGAAATAACACAAATACCAGCAGTTGTTTTGTGCAGGACAGCTGGTGCCACTTGGCACACTTGTTTAGCGAGCGTGCGAGGGAGCACATATGGCCCCGACCGGGGGCGACTCCGGGCAAATTTGGCCAAGAAAGTCTACCCTAAATGGGGAGGCCAGGAGACAAAAGCAAAATAGAAATAAAATAAGAATTAAGCCCTCTTTGGAAACGGTGGTTTTTCGGCTGCGGGCAGGGGACGGCGCTAAGCAGGACCCCGCAGTTCTCCCTGGATGAGTTCGGTCGTATAGTGAAGCTTCCGGTTTGTTTTGTTTTTCACGTGGCTCAAGGTAGAGTCCTCGCCTTACAACCGCAACTGAGCCGCAACGTTTCCGTTGCAAAGGGAGAGCTTGGTTCAGGGGGTTTTGCACCACGGTGCGGCTTTTCTTGCCACCGTCGTTAAGGGAATCCAGCTTCCCCGTTGATTTTGCTGGCCAAGTGGTCGCCCAAGGAGGGAATCGTCCCATGGTCCCGGGACCGCTCCAACCGTCCTAAATACGAGTCACAGTTACCAAGCGCCCGAGTTTCGATCACGTCACCGTAGGGACGCTGCAGTGGCCATTAAGTGTGAAAAAACGCTTATCAGTTGCTTTTTTGTGGCAACTTTGAACGGTCACTAAATGAATTGTCGTACGTTGAGGACTACCTGTACGTCCTCAGTGTACAAGCAGGATTCAGACCGGAAGAATTTCCCTTGATAAACCAAGTTGGTTGTTAAGTGAGACTGGTTTTGGTGTGTGACCTCTTTGGCCACGATGGTTAAGCCGATCACTGCAGCGAAGTGAATTGTCTAGTTGTTAAGTGAATCACGTGGTCATTAAGCGAAGGCAGGTTCCCCCGTTGACTTTGCTCGTCGAAAGCCGGCTGGGAAGTTTGCAAAGGGTGATCACGTGACTATGAAGATGCGGCGATGGTCGTTAAGTGGGGAAAATGGTCATAATTCCCTTTTCGAGGGCGTTGTGACTTTGGTCGTTAAACGAACGGTCGCAAGTTGAAGCCTACCTGCACGGGGAGGTACAGATAGTCCTCGACTTACAACAGTTCGTTCAGTGACCGTTCGAAGTTACGACAGCACTGAAAAGAGGGACTTGTGACCGTTTTTCCCACTTAACAACCCCTGCAATATCTCCATAATCATGCAATTTATGCATTGGGATCCTTGACAACTGCTTCGCATTTATGACGGTTGCAGTGTCCCGGGATTACGTGATCAAAATTCAAACGCTAAGCAATGGACTCGTATTTATGACGGTGGCAGCATCCGGGGGGGTGTCATGTGGTCCCATTTTACGACCTTCCGATGAGCAGAGTCAATGTGGAAGCCGGATTCACTGAACAACCGTGTCACTAACTTGACAAGTTCCGCGATCCACTTAACAACGGTGGCAAGGAAGGTCGTAAAATGGGGCAAAACTCACTTAGCGACCAAGGTTTTGGGCTCAATTGTGGTCGTAAGTCGAGGACTACCTCTAGAGCTAATTAATTGACGCCTTTGAGTAACAGGGAGTTGGAGTTTCTGTAACTGGTGCTTTTCTCACGCTTGGCAACATGAAGATGGGTGAACTTCAACTCAATACTAGCTGGGGAATTCTGGGAGTTGAAGTCCTGAGGTCTTAAAGTTACCCAGTTTGGCTCCCTGGGGAATTCTGGGAATTGAACTCCTCATCTCTTAAAAGTTACCAAGTTTGGCTTCCTGGGGAATTCTGGGAGTTGAACTCCTCATCTCTTAAAAGTTACCAAGTTTGGCTTCCTGGGGAATTCTGGGAGTTGAACTCCTCATCTCTTAAAAGTTACCAAGTTTGGCTTCCTGGGGAATTCTGGGAGTTGAACTCCTCATCTCTTAAAAGTTACCAAGTTTGGCTTCCTGGGGAATTCTGGGAGTTGAACTCCTCATCTCTTAAAAGTTACCAAGTTTGGCTTCCTGGGGAATTCTGGGAGTTGAACTCCTCATCTCTTAAAAGTTACCAAGTTTGGCTTCCTGGGGAATTCTGGG